CAAATCGTATACATCTTAACTTTGACAGAAGACTGCTGACTGAATAACCCATGTTGATTTGTGGTCTTGTAGCTGTCTTCTCTGCCTTTTTTCAAGGATTTGCCTTTTTTTTTACCCAGTGACCACTGTGCTCTCTAGGGTTCGACTGATAAATTCCTGTTAGGCATGGATGTGCCTCTTAAGAACAGTGTCCCTACTGTGTTTACTGAAGAGCTGCTCACACAGGGTCTCCACTCCAGGACAGTCCAAAAAGTCAATGCTATTGAGGCTTCAGTTTCATCTGCTGAGCCCAGACTTTAAGGATGAGATCATGTGCTAGTGAGCTTCCATCCTGTGGGAGAAATGTTGGAGTGGCACTCTTTTGTCTCCGTTATTAGTCAACAAGAGGTGCCTTTAGACCCTGGATGTTATCATCTCATTTGGTCGAACCTCTGATGCACAGTTTCACAGAACTGCTAACATGGGTCTAATATAGTTGTGATTAAGCCTGTGCACAAAAACATTACCTGATCTTAAGGTTTGGTTTTCTAACCCAAGTTGACAGACTGCAGCCCTTTTGATGGATGCCTTAGGAGTTTGCTATTCTTTAAAGACAGCTCTAGACATCTTTCGGGAGATTTTGCAGTCCAGTATTCATGCTGTTGCTCACTCTCTGTGAAAGTTGTACATAGTTGCTGTAGCACAGCCTGTGATACTGGCTAGCTGCCTCTCTCTGGTTTTGTTGTTTCATCAGCCCATCTTTGTGAGTAACCCATCTTAAACATCCTTCCCTGCTTTAGAAACTGACTTGGGAAAAGCTTGGTCATTCATGCCACCAATAACTTTAGATGGATATCCTTAAGTATTTATTGTTTTTATCTGGTTAAGGATTCTCTTTTCCTTGGACATTTGGTTTAATTCTGAGACCAAAATGCTAAAAAGTTATGTGCAAAGGCAAGAGTCAAATCTATTTTTTCAGTTATCATTTAATATGTCAGTCACTTCTCCAGGTTTTCTTAAATTAGGTTGATAGAGTGAGACAAGCAAAAATCTATCTACCTTTGGAACCACAGCATAGCTAAAATTAATCATAGCTGGAATAACTAGCATTGCAACTGCCTAGGGCCCCGTAGATAACCCAAGTTCTGAAGAGACAGTGTTTTGCTTAGGCCAAAATCTAGGACTCATGTTCCTACCTTCCTGCTACAAAAGGGTTTAAGCCTGAATCTGTAATGGGAGCATCGCCTTTGCCAAATCATATGAGTGACAGGTTAACTATAAAATGTGACAATCACATTTCCTCTTTGCTCAAATAATTCTGTTTTTCCAAAGCTTTAGCAGCTTAATTAAATCTGTTGGACTGGAGGAGGAGAGAACTGTTCTCTAGCAGTTAACATAATATTCTTCAAGGAGAAAAAAACAGCCAAAGAAAACTCATTATTAGGCATGCCCGCCTTAAAGAAGCTGGTGGGTAAAATCTGGAGTTTTAATATGTTTTTAAAGATGCACATCTATGTTAACATACATTTAACTGCCTACCTACCTTTCTTCAGCCAGGATGACATTCTCACCACAGGGGTATTGATGAAGCAGAGTAAAAATGTGCTTATGTAGTTTACTTAGAGGTAAAGAGCCGGAAATAACCTGCAATTTTGCATCTAATGCAGGTCCTGCTTTGAGTTTTTGTCAGGATCAGTTATGAAACAAGTTTGGTGCTTCCTCTTTATCATGGTTTTTCCCTTGTAGCAGTTGTGTTTAATGTCATTAAAAAGAAATAAAAGTTCTTGTCAGTGGCATATGTACTGTGACCGTCTGTTGCAGGCTTTGAAGGAGAGTTCCTTCCTCCTTTGCGTAGGTAGGTTAGTGGGGTATAGGAGGGGGTGGCAGTTAGTAGAATGTGGTGCTGGGGAGGCGGGGGTGCATGCTCCCTATTCTTTTGAGGGTAAATTACAGTGTTGAAAAAGGTGTCCCTGCAGCTAAGAAATGTTGAAATTGATTGGGATTTGCAGGTACATATAGTGCATGTCAGGGGGCTGACACTGGGAGAGCCTGAAATATCACTGGGCTGCTGTTTTTGCAGAGGGGAAAAGGGCTCAGCCTGCTCAGACAGACATTGCCTTGCATTCCTCCCCATGTTTGTGTTTGACCTCTGTGCCTCTGCCACTCCAGAGTTAGCCCTGATTAAGGAGGAAGCTGAACCATCCTGGGACATTCTCCCTTTGAAAGGGATGTGAAGTCAGAATTGATAGTGCAAAATTAAAGCTTGTTCTTCTCCAGAAATTGACTGTTCCTAGAACCTGGGGTGAAGGTTGGATAAATATGGGTCGATGTGGGAGACACAGTGTTCCTTAGATCCTTTCCGTGAGCCTAAGCTTCTTAGTACCCTTCTTAGGAACAAGGATGAAAGGGAAGGCAATAAGAGCTCGGCACCTAGATTAGCCAATGCTTTTTAAAATTCAGCTCCTACTGAGAAAATAAGGGGCAACATGTTTGGACAGGCTTTCTGAGCTGCTGTTCTATAAATTTCATCTAGTATATATTTTACAGTCCAAGTAGAAGGTTCAATATAAATTTGCTAAGTACTCAGCTGTTTGATATTGTTTGAGTCAGAGGTGCTTCTGACTTGTACATACCTATTTTGTTCCTGTCAGGTAGACAATCCTTAGTCCAGGAATTGCTCATTTCCTTTTCACAAGGTATGACCGTAGGTTTCAAAGGTTTCAGGGACCAGACTGGATTCTCTGGAATGGTGGTGTCCCTTACCCTCCGTTTGTTTTATGTTATGGAAAAGTGAGGAGAAAGACAAATGGACCTTCTCGAAAATGGGCTCATTCTGTAACCATTCTTTAAAACATTCTCCTCTTTTGAGCTTTTACAGAAAGAAAAAACCCCAAGCACCTAAAACTAGAAAGCTGAGTTCCTTGCTCTTCTGGGTATTGTCCTGCTTTCTGAGAGTAAACAATTATTTCTAAGCTGATTCTAAGGTATGCTTGGCGTTGTATGCCTAAGCACCTGTCAGGAAAAAAATTCCCTTCCACTTGGCACAGGAAGTATCAGCTGGTCAGTGGTGGAATTCCTTAATGAACAAGCTCCTGCCTTGTCAATCCTCCCCACCTGTCTTCCCCCTGTGACAACTGGGACATGCCATAGACAGAAAATCTGACCCTCCCTAGCACCCACTGAAAAGGCAGTGGGCCCTAATTGATTTAGCACATTGGCGGACTGAAGGATCTCAGTTTCGATTCCAGTCAAGGGCACATGCCTGTCTTGCGGGCTCCATCCCCAGTAAGGGGCATGCAGGAGGCAGTTGATTAATGATTCTCATCATTGATGGTTTCTATCTCTCCCTTTCTGAAATCAATAAAAATATTTTTTTTAAAGAGAAGGGGGTGGAATGTAATCATTTGGACAATCTTCAAAGCAGTCCATGGGATAGTCATGAAATGTATCATTAAGGAACTCTTTGTATACAAAGATTCCCGTCAATTTAGCTTTAAGTAGCTTGATGAGATTGGAGCTGGGGGTGGGGGTGGGGATAGTATCCATTTACATAAACAGTTTGTTGGAGGCTACTTAAAAAACTGACAAATAGGTTTAAAGAAGGTGAGAAAGTAGAAGTCTGAAACGTGATGTTTGGTGAGATTTTACATATTTCTGTAAAGGGTTGAATCAGAGATCTTAAAAGTGGATTCTAGAGGAGGCCCATACTGAAAAGCTAGTGGTTGAAGGGACAGGATTACAAGGAGAAAAGGGCTCCTGCCCCCATGAAAACAGTCCACAATCCTTCCCTAAATTCTGGGGTTTCCCTCTTGTTCCTGTGAGGAAGCCCCTTAGCTCCCAGTCTAGGTGGTGAATGGGGTCTGACAGTTGAGGAAACCAAGGCCCACTCCCGATCCCACCCTCAAGTAACTGGTCTGAGGCGTTATGTGTTATATGTATTATAAGGTGGGGTCTCCTGCCTCTCAGCCCTGCATTCCCTCCCACAGGCCAACTGTGGTCTGCAGTCAGGTCTCAGCCTCAGAATCAGCAGTGAGCAATCTGTGGATGTATGTGAGTGGTGAAGAGACCACTTCCCAAGTCAGCTGTAGGGTTCTGTGCAACTACAGTTGATTCAGGAAAAGCTCAGTCATTAAAGAACTTGGGGGTGTAGGTAGGTAATTAAAGGCAACAGAGTTTAATGCAGGACTGTTGTTTGTTTTTCTCCCTTCACACCCTCAGCTGATGTACTATAGGCACAGATAAGAGGGAGACGGGAAACTCCCACTAGCAGTGCTTCCTGAGCCCACAACTTCTACACCTGATGCTGACTTGGGGGCTTCTCCATCACTTGGCACTATGTGAGCACAGAGGACCTGGGAAGTACCTCTCAGGTTTGGCTTAGGGTTCTGGGTGCTAACCGACTTCCCACTGAGCCTCTAAGACCTGCCTGCTTTTGTTCTCAGAACCTTCCAGAACAGCCTTCCCTAAGCCCGATCACCAAGTTCTTGCTGGTTCTGACCGAAATGTTCGAGGTGCCCCATTTAATGGTTTGCTCTTTGGCTAATGGCACCATTACTCTACCTTTCAGCCTGCTGTTGGGATCATAAGGATATTCCTTTAACAGTCTAGAACGGCATGCTGTGATTACTGAACCGCAGCAGGCAGCTTTGCAGTTCTTCACTTCTCTGCTCACCCCTGGGAGAAACAGACTGCATTCCTTTGGCCAAGGAAAGCACCCACCCCATCCAAGGGGAAAACCCTTTGTTTTAAAAACTGAGCACCAGCCTGCATACCTATGTGGTGAGGCAGCCCAAGCTTGGTTTAGGGTACGGGGGCGGGGCTCAGTAATAGGATGATGGAGCAGCTATTTTCTCCTCCTACACGTGCACCCCCATCTGTTCGAGATTTCCCTTCCAACTCCAGCTTGGCAGGCAGGCATGTCCCTAGGAAGCTGCAGGCCAAAATGGAGAGAGAGAACTGAGTGGCTGCCAACTGCCAGAAAAAGAGGGCAACATTTGGGCATTTACCAGGAGACAAGGATGTGCCTTTTCATTTGTCTTTTTATTTTACATTTAAAAAGTGGTTATTGCTCTAACTGGATCAGAGGTAAGGACCTCTCTCCCCTAAGGAGCCTTGGCCTTGCAGCCCCATTCAGCAGGGATGGAAGTCACAAGACAATGAGTGAAGCCTCATGCCCTCCCATGAGGAAGCCCTTAGTGTTGCTGACATCTGCCTTTACCCTGTCTCTCCTCCCTCCCTGTGTTCCACACTCAGAAGTGGTGGCCGACCCAGCCCTGAGAGCTCTTGTAGACCGGAAGGAAGGGTGGTCACTGGGTGATGGCTTTCAGCTCTCTGGCTTGGGGGCTATTGCTTATTCAGTTCAACAGGTATTCAATGAGCACCTACTGTGTGCCAGGCTTGTGCTAGGCGCAGTGCTCCCAGACGCCTGTCCATAGCCACCACTGGAAGACACAGAGGTCCTTCTCTTCTGTGCAGGCATTCAGCTGCCACAGCTTGTCAGTCCTAGGGAAGGGTCTGCCTTCCCTTATCAAGCACCAGTTTTTTTTTGTTTTTTGTTTTGTTTTTTACCAGAAAGGGGCAGTGGAGAAAGACCTGTCACCTCACACCACACAGGCTCTAGGGAAGGACATGAGGACCCTGGGTAGCTTTCACAGAATCCTGGATGAGATGGCAAGATATGGAGACCCCAGAGGCCACGACTGCTCTGACTGAATGGCTCATGCCTGCCTTCTGGCAGCTTCCACCACAGCGTGGTGATTTAGCAGCCTTCAGGATGTCCCACGGGAACGTGCCTTTCAGTTGTCCAAGTCAGCACTGTTACAACTCCAAGAGGCTTTCCTAATGAAATGGGGCCAATACCTTCCAGGTATCTTTCCTGCACTTTCTTCTTAAAACCCCAGACGGATAGTCTTACAGTCAAAATAAGGGCCAAAGAAGACAGAAGATGCAGGCAACCAGCTCGGGGAATCTCTATGGCCCTCTGGAATGAAGCCCTTCAGTTGTGTTTTCCAAGAGACAAAACAGATAAATCTCACACACACACACAAAGTTGTGCATCGCACCACAAACAAGTCCTTAATGGCTGAATCCAGAAAAGGCTCCACGGCAGCCACGCCCCTGCCCGGCAGGCAGGCCCATGGCTTCCCTGACGGTTCTTGGTCTGAAAGGGCTTAAGTCAGTCTCGGTGCTTGTCATCTCCCAGCAGCTTTGTGCATCTTCTCAGAGAGGAAGGCCGTCCAGGAGACGCGAGGAGGCAGAAAGAAGGCCGTGTCTCATGCAGCTTTGCCTTTTCCAGAATGGGGCCAGGCCTCAAGTTTTGTGGCTTGTTTATTTTTTTGCAGAATTTGGGTTTGTAGTTCAGTCTCCTTCACCAGACTAGGACATCGGAGAGAGAGAACTGTGCAGCTAGCCGTGCCTCCCCCTCCAGTGTAGCCCTCCCCCTTCCTGTGCCCGTGGACCTGGGGACCAGCAGAGAAGAAAAATGAAATCTTTCTCCCTGTAGACAGGTAGTCACGCTTCGATGATGTTCACCAAGAGCTTGTTTGGAAACTGGGAGGAAGAAATGAGAGAAGCGGCCAGGGCTAATTGAATAGACTTCTCGCAAGGTTGGAAACAGAGGACACGAGAAGGAAGGGAGCAGCAGGGCTGCTGCCGGAAAGCCAGGCTCTTGTCCCCTGTGGAAGGAATGGAGTAGCCCTGCCCGCATGTCTTGTCTCTGCCGTCGCAAACCCAGCCTTCGGCCTCACTCAGCTGAATGGCCAAGTCTGGGTCCTGGACCCACTGCCCCCGGACCCCGTCCACCCCCAGCAGAGCCATCCTGCTGGCTGGTTCTCACGTCCTGCAGATCTGCCTCTCAGCGCAGCCTCAGCCACTGACATTGTTGAGGTGCTTCTGGAGATGGGGGTTAATAAGAGGCTTCAGGAAAATGCGCCAGAAAGAGTGAAGCCAAGAGAGAGGACAGTAAGCCAGAGGGTGCAAGGAGATGGAGGGAGGAGGAAATGTAGAGAGGGCCAGATGTTGTTGGATATCATCGCCTGAACCATGAGATCCTCTCACATTCTCTACTGTCTTCTGAGCTGCTCAGAGCCAGCACTGAAAAGGTTTCATATCTGTTTTACACAAGAGGAAATGAAGGTACAAAGAGGTGAAGCGCCTGCCCAAGGTCACAGCACCACAGCTGCAGGAATGAGCTCAAAGCCCATCTCTTCTTGTCCCACACCAACCAAGAGTTCTGCCCTCCCTATTCACTGCCCCCCTTTAACCCCCACTGGCCCCTGGCACCCTGCAAAAGGAGAGGATCCAAAATCAATTTGCAGTGTCCCCTGGGTCACAAAGGCAGCAGCCAAGCTTGGCTCTGCCCAGCTGTAGCCATGCCAGACCCTGAGCTGACCCCTCTGCAGTCCAGGGACTCCCAGTGCCTGAGCCATGGGGCCACCCACCCAGGTCCAACCCCACCCTCACCTTGCTGCGGAGAAGCCCCCCGCCTTGGTGCTCTGGTGTGCTGGTTTCTGACGCACTCTTGGTTTTTTCCTTGTTGTTATTGGGCTCATTGTCCTTGATAATGTCATACTGGCGGCAGAAGAGGACAATGACGCCTGGGGGACAGGGGAAAGAGTCAGAGTCCTTGCCCACCTGCTCCCTTGCCCTGAGCCCGTGCTGAGCTCCTGTTAGGTACCGAGCTCCAGATGGTCTCTCACCTGCACTACTGCCACAGCCTGCCTTGGCCTCTGGCTCCTGTGTCCACCTGTCCCCTGACCATCCCCGTCACTGCTGCTGGATTGGTCTTCCTACAACATGCGTTTGATCATGTCTCCTCCCTTCCCTTCTTTTAAACCTCTGAATCCTCCCCCTTTCCGTTAGGGGAAAACAGAAACAACAGCGTTTGTTGAGCACGTGCCAACCTGTGCTGTGACTGACATATTCCAGCTCACGGAGTCCTCATAGTACTGAGGGTCCCTATGGCCCTCCCCAGGTGAGAGTGAGGACACTGATGCAGAGCTTAGGGGACTTACTCAAGTCGCTCTGGGGTGCAGCTGGGGTGTGCACCCGGGGCCTGCACTCTGTGAAATGTTTATTTTATTGAACTAATACATGATGAGCATAATAAGCTTTTTTGAAAGTTGGATAGTATTAAGGCAGCCAACTCCAATTCTTGTTTTCCCCATTTTTACCTCTATGCTTGATTTATAGTAGTTATTTCCTGCCCTATCTGTTTTAGATATTATCTCTTGACTTCCCACCATGGCAGTGTCGGGTGGTCAGGGTGGCCTCTGGCCGGAGACAGTACTCTGCATCCTCAGTTCTTGTCTTCTTGTAGGGGCGAACTCACATGAGACAACAAGCAGGCGGGAATGTATTTGCAGAAAAGGAATACACTCAGATATTGTCTGAGCAGGCAACTCAGCCACCAGAAACCAAACCAAGTACCCTGCTTAGTTGGGGTTTGGGGTATACCCTTAAACTGGAGTGCACCTAAGTAAGTCTCTCCCTCCCTTATTTCTCAAAAACAGTATCTTCAAGTTATAAGGCTCCTCCCCCAGGTATTAGGCCACCAGTTAGACCGCATCCTGGAGGGGCTCTAGCTCTTCTCACATAGGGGCCTGCCACCTCCATCGTCTAATTGTGGCGTGTCATGTCTCACACGTATCCTCTCCAAGCCCTAGCTGCCTTTCCCAGCTCATATCTTTTGAGCTGCCTCCTCTAACAGTAGATAAGGCCTACCAACTCCCCCTGCTTCCTTCCCCATCACCCTAACAGAATTACATGACAATTTTGGGTTCGTTCACTATGTTTATATTGTTATGATTACATAAAAACTATGTGCCAAGTCTAATAAAGCATCATAAGCAAACCTCCTCTTTTGTATAACCCTTTTCCCCTAAGTGCCTGTTTTTCTATGAGCCTATGGGAGCTCCCTCTCCCCCCACCCCCCAAATTCTTCTACCTGAGAGAGCCTGCCCCTCACCTACATGCTAACACGGCTTAGGCATGTTCAAGTTCCTCCACACAGACTCCAGCACTTCACAACCTCGCCATCCTTTACTCCCCCACTTTCTACCTTCTTTCTTGGGTCACAGCTGCACTGAGCCAACTGAGCTTAATTTGTTTCTTGAACACACTGTGCCCAGAACACCCTCCCTTTTTTTGGCTGCCAGGTGAACTCCTATTCACCCTTCAAAGCTCAAATCCGCCGAAACCGGTTTGGCTCAGTGGATAGAGCATCGGCCTGCGGACTGAAAGGTCCCAGGTTCGATTCCGGTCAAGGGCATGTACCTGGGTTGCGGGCACATACCCAGTAGGAGATGTGCAGGAGGCAGCTGATCGACATTTCTCTCTCATCGATGTTTCTAACTCTCTATCTCTCTCCCTTTCTCTCTGTAAAAAATCAATAAAAATATTTAAAAAAAAAAAAAAAAAAAAAAAGCTCAAATCCTATGTTACTGCTCTTTCTGTTTTTCCTGTTTTCTACTCCTAGCCCCAGAGTTAATTCCCTCTCCGCTGCTCCCATACACAGTCCTATTATAGCACTCATCTCATTGAATTACAGTTAACACGGGCCTGGCTTCTCCCAGACTTGCTTGCAAGCATGAGGCTCCTCTTAGCCATAGTGGTAGCACTACCTGGAATACACTGTCTGGAATGTAGCACTATGTACAATGAAGTGGCTGTTCAGAAAACGCTGATTGAATACAAAAATGAAATTTGATCTTTATCCTCAGGGAGCTTACAGATAAGTGGAAAAGAGAGAGAGAGATAAGCCCAACTAACTTATCTAAGAAGGGCTGACGAGAGGGGCAAACAGTGTGCTTGGAGGCATCGTGGCAGGAATGACCTAGTGCAGTGATGGCGAACCTATGACACGCGTGTCAGAGGTGACGCGCGAACTCTTTTTGGTTGATTTTTCTTTGTTAAATGGCATTTAAATATATAAAATAAATATCAAAAATATAAGTCTTTGTTTTACTATGGTTGCAAATATCAAAAAATTTCTATATGTGATATCGCACTAGAGTTAAGTTAGGGTTTTTCAAAATGCTGACACGCCGAGCTCAAAAGGTTCGCCATCACTGACCTAGTGAATGGGCTGGGGAGGTTATGTGGAGGCGGTCTCAGAGCCGGTCAGGAGGAGTAGGTTAAGAGTGTGCCCCCACCCGGAGCCTGAGGGAGGGGGAGAGAAAATATGCTTATGGTCCTCCAAGGCAACTCGATATGCTATTTTTTTGGTGAGGGCTGAGTTAGAGAAGGGATGGGATCTGGTCCCCAGAACTGTCCCAGGCAGGACTTAGAAACTTCTGACCTCTTAGCTCTCTCCACGTCCCTTACCCTTCCTTTCTGTGAGAGAAGGGGTCTGGTCAGGTCCTCCCCTCCCCAGGTTAAGTGAAGAAGGGCTGGGAGGCCAGACTCACCGGCCCACATGAACAGGACCACGACGATGATCAGCACCTCGCCTGTCTGCAGCTGCTGGTTGCGCCCCATCTCCTTCATGGTCACCTCATCTGTGGGGAGAGAGACACGAGGTCTGGGCTCCTTTCCTCCCCCAGCCACTCCTCTGTGGCCAAGTCCAGGAAATTAAGCGCTTCTCTCGATATTGGTGCCCACATACGTAACGAAAAGAGGTTCTAGAACAGGCTGATGGCTACTCGGGGTCGCAGTGATAAGGCAACCCAAAATAAGTGTTTATATACCCATTGTATTGGGTCACTAGAGTGACCTCCTCTCTCTTAGGTACTGCTATGAGGAGGGGGAGGGGGGGTATGGGAAATTAGTGCTTTCTTCAACCTCCTACTTCTCTGGCCTGACCAGCCCTCACCCCACCACACTCCATCCCTTCCTAACAGTGCCCGGGCCTGCCTTTGTTCTTGGAGGCCATCTTCTCAGCCTCCCGCGGCGTCTTGAAGAGCACTGGCTCGCTAGCCGGACTCTGGCCCTGGATGGAGATGGCTTGCACGTGCACGATGTATTCCGTGTCCTCCTCCAGGTCCCAGAGGGCGCAGGAGCGGGTGGTGGTGTTCACCTCCTGGATGAAGCGCAGCATCCGCACGTCCTTCTTCTGCCAAAGCAAGAGCCAGCCCAGTGTTTTCAGTGCCCAGTCACCACCCATCTGCCACCTCTCCAGCAGCAATAGCGGGCTCACCTGGCTACCATGCTAAGCCCTTTGCAGACATAATCTTACTTACGCATTCCACCATCTCTGCAGATATCCTTATCTCTATTTTACAGATGAGGAGACTGGTAGAGGGTGAGGGAAGTTGCCCAAAGCCACACATTTCGTGAGAACTGGGGCCAGGTCCAAGTCCCAGGTTCCGAACAAAGGCTCCAGAGCCCTCCCTCACTGACAGATCCCCTCTGGGGCCCCCTTTTAAGCCATAAGTGCAACTTTTCTGCCAGTCTGTCCTGAGCCTCAGTCCTTTTCTTTCTCCTCCCTCACCCACCAACATCTTCCCTCCCAGAGGGTTACCTGCTGAGAGATGGCAAATCCGATGACAACCTCATCCTCCAGGACATCCCAGCTCACCACCGCGGAGTTGGCCTTGAGGTGCCTGACAGTGACATTCACTGGGGCGGAGGGGCTGTCTGGGGTTGGGGAGGCACCTGAGCCTGAGCACCCCCTGCGGCGAGGCCCAGGCCCACTGTCTCATGAGTGAACCTGGGGGAGGCCGTGCAGTGGGGGAAGGAAGAAACCAAGGCCTCCCTGGGATTGGCACATGGACCTCCGTTCCTTGGTGGGTTGCAGGGCCAGGCTGGAGAGGCCCCAGGCTCCTTGTGTCCAGGATGGGAGCCCCAGATGCCCACAACTGGCCCTACCAGGGGTGCAGGCTAAAACTGAGGGGCCTGGGCCAATAGCATATCTAATAGAGGAACATTAAGAGGTGAGGGGCCAGGGGTGGGGGAGACCTAGGTGGCCAGGGTTCAAGAGCTGAAGGTTAGTCTGATGAAAAGCAGTCAAGAGCAATCCCCGGCCAACGCTCTTTCCACAGTACTCACTGCAGTGTCAAGTGCGTGACCTTGAGGACGGGGAAAGCCCACAGGTGGAGAAGAACCAGGCTGGGGGGAGCCCTGGGGTGGGAGTTAGGGTCCAGGGAGGAACCCTCGGTGTTGTGGTGACCCAGGCAGAAAGAAGCCTGCGGAAGGGCCTCTGTGAGCCCCAAGAGGCAGGTGGTGAGGTGACAGGGGAAGATGGGGTCACTCGGAGCAGGGCCCCTCAGCCGAGAATCAAGAGTACAGGGTAGGTAGGGCCTTCTGGATGTGGGAAGAGGATGAAAGGGCGTCTGTTGAGAAGGGAGTAGGAGGAAGTGATGGGGGCACAGGGTCAGGGGAGGAAGACCCTTCCAGGACAGGGGCAATGGAGTCGCAGCCTCCATATCTCACAGGGGGCGGGTGCTGACGGGAAGATCTGAGCACGAGCAACCCCTCACCCCACAGATGGGTGGACCGAGGCCCAAGGGGAGGCAAAGCCAGACGTGGGCCGGGAGAGAGACAGGGGGACATAGACAGGTGGTGGCAGACACAGATCCAGAGGACAGACAGGAGGGGTATGAGAGGCAGACACAGAGATGGGAGCGTGAGTGAGACAGCAACGAGGCACGAAGAGATGGAGAGAGGGAGAGATGAAGGCGGCAACAGCAGCCAGATGGGAGGCTGGGCGAGGACGAGGCCAGGCCCCACGGGACAGCCCAGGTGCCGACAGCACCGGGCTCAGGGGCCACCGTGGCCCACCCGGTGCCTGGGTGCCAGTCCCTATCCTCACTGGGACCCCACGGTGCCCCCTCCCTCTCCGACCTGCAGAGTTGGCCTGCAGGGCTTTGGGGACAGGGAGGAGGCCCAAGGTGGGGGATTGGTGTCCTCAGCTGCTCCCCGGCCAGAGAAGGGGGCTAGGGACCCGAGGCAAAGGCTTGGGCTCAGGGCAATGGTGTGAGGGGACTGAGGTCACAAGACCCTGTCCCCCAGGGCTGGGGTGGCCGGGAGGGGTTTGGGGGCTGGAGGAAGGGTTTGGCGGTCAAGAAGGCCGGGAAGAGGCGGGGGGTGGCATTAGGGAGCAGTGAGGGGAAGGACCGGGTCCCAGGAAGCGGGGGAGGGAACTGAGGACTCCCGCCCCCCTCCCCCGGGCCCGGGCCCCCTTACCCGCCTGCACCAGCGCGAGGCAGACGCAGCCCAGCCACAGGCGGAGCGCGGCGCGGGGCGGCCCGGGGTGCATGGCGGCGGCTCCGGCCGGCCGGCGCGGGGCGGCGCAGGGGGACGCGGCTCTGGCGCCCGGCGGCCGCTGGCGCCCGCAATCCGGCCCGCGGCCCGCCCGGCCCGGCCGCCCCGCGCCGCCCCGCGCCGCCTGCATGTCGGTTCCGCGGACAGCGACTCCCGCGCGGCGGCGGCAGCAGCGGCGGCGGCCGCGTCCACGTCGGGCGCCCGGGGGGCGGGGCGCCCCAGCTGCGGGGAGACGCGCGGGGCGGGGTGAGGGCCGAGGGCGCCCCGCCACCCCTGCTCCCCACTCGGCCGGCAGCCAGATCCGCGGGGCTCGCCAACTGGCCGCTCCCCCCCTCTCGCCGGTGCAAGAGCGCAAACGGGCTCCTCCGCGCCCACCGGGCTCAGCCCCAGCCTCGCTGTCCCTCCTCCCGCTCCCCCGCCCCCCACACAGCCGGCCGCCTCCATCGCTGCCCTTTCCCCAGGGAGGACAAGTGCTGTGCAGATGCCCCTCCGTGCCTCTCCCACCCTTTGGCCTTGGGGGTCTCCACCCTCGCCCCAGACCCGAGGCCTTGCTGGCTGGGGCAGAAGTGAGCTGAGGGGAGTTATCGCAACAGGGTGGGGTACTATAGAGTGCGGGGTGAGTGCTGGGTGCATACAGTAGGTGCTCAGTGTTTCCCGTGCGGCCAGGGAGAGGGGCTCTGACTCACTGGAGCTGACCGCTGAGAAGGTAAAGCTCGCTGACCCTGCCAGGCCTCCCCCTTCTCCGGCTCCGTAAGGAGAGTGAGCAGGAGCATCTGCTTCCCAGGTGCCAGACACTGTGCAAGGGCTTTGCTCGCATATGGCACTTGCTTCTCACCTGTAAGGCCTCTGCTGTTCGAGTGACTTTTGCGGGGGGGGGAGGGGGGGGCGCAGACTGCAGCCTGCAGAGGTTACTCGACTCGAGGACCCACGGCAGAGCCAGGCTTTGAACACAGGCTGATCTGATTCCCAAACCTGTGCTTGACACGACTGTCGCCCCATCTAAGCGAACTCAGTCACTTTGGGATCCCTGGGATCCTAGAATTTGCTCGTGCCAACTCCTTCCTACCCAGAGAACAATCTGGAACAATCTCTTCCCAAGAGCAGGGTGAGGGAGGAGTGGCTCCAGTCTCCCCGCCCCCCCCCCCCCCCCCATTCCGGCAGGCTGAATGCTGTGAGCAGTGAATGAGCTAATGACTCTAAAGTGCTCTGGAGCCAGGGCAAGCAGCCACGGTTAATAAAAGGGCTGGATGACCCCTCCCTCATTACCTCCGGACACCCATATCCCCATTACAGTCCCTACCTCAGTCCCACACACCATTCTACCCAATCCACTTCTTTTCTGATCTTGGAGCACCAGGCACCCAAGCACCCGGCACCCACCATCCTGTCCCAAAGGATCTCTGAACCCCAGACAGCCAGGGAAACTTCCACCCCCACGCAGGCACTCTGCACCCGGAGTCCCTAAGAAACAGGCTGAGGAGAGAGGCACAGGCCAGGGCCCGAGGGGCCCTGACACGGAGGGGCCACCCATCTCCCCCCACTGTCCGACAGGAAAGGCCTTCTGGTCTCCCAGAGGCCCCTGGAAGGGCTAACCCTCGCAAGGGGACACCTTGCCAAGTTACCCCACAGAACCATCTTCAAGACCTTCCCCGCTCCCCTTTAGATGGAGAAACTGGGGTCCGAGATGGAAAGAGCTTGGTGCAAATCCGCACAGTGAGGCAGGAGCAGCCACAGAGCCCTCCTCCAATCTCACCCCAAGGACTCCGTGCGCCGCCTCCTTTCTGCCTGGCCTCCTGGGGAGGGGCTCAGGGGGTCTTGCCGGGCAGCGGGATGTACCTGGCCAGCCCCTCAGCCCCCCAGGCCTGCCCTGCTTGGCCGCTGACCCTCCCCCGCCCCATCTGCTTCCTCAGCCACGTACCTTGTCCTCGGGTAAGTCTCAGTTGGGACCCTGGTGTCCAGAGGGCAGCCCCCTGGCCAGTCTGTTTGGTGGGATAGGAACCTGGGAACCAGAGCACCGCTCTCTGTCCTTTATCTCTTCTCTCTCTCTTTTTTGTTTTTTTCTTTCTCTCTTTTTCTCCTTTCTCTTTTCTTTCTCTCTCTGGCAGCTGCGTTCTGCCCCGCCCCACCCGGCCCCGCCCCACCAGCTGCAGCCGGGCCCCTAGGGACCCCCTCACCCACCAGGCAGGAAAAGACAGCCCGGGGCCTGCGGGAGCAACTGGAGTCTCCTTAGGTCTCCTCGCAGGAACCAACAGGAAGGAGAGGGGTTAGCTAGAGGTCACAGAGCCCACTCCTGTCCCTGCTGAGAAGAGGAGGGAGGGACACACAGGGTCCTAGTGGGGTCTGGAGTCCAGTCCAGCGCTGGAGAAGAGGCGGCCTCGGCGCCACCTGCTGGTACATCCAGGTATAACCCCAGGTAGATATAGGGCATTGGGAGGGGGAGATGGCTGAGTCTGAGAGTTTGAGAGCGTTGGGGAAGGGTTGCTGGAGTTGGGACAGGAAAGACGGGGAGGATTTGGAGAGTTGTGGATGTGGGGTGCAACCTTCCCAGAGCCCATGATGCATGGGGTGCTTCTGGGAAAAGTCCTGATGCTTGGAGCATGGCAGCCTGCGGACGCTGGGTTGGGAGTAAGAAGAGCGAGGAGGATGTAGAGGCAGCCTGGGATCTTGGGAGAGGGTTGTCAAGGCCATTTACTTGATGGATATCTCTTAGCACAGAGCTAGGAGCAGTCGGTGCTCATTAATGTTTGTTGAATGTATGGAACAATTCTGTTCTTCCAACACACATGTATTGAACACCTATTCTGGGACCATAGCCCTGGAAGGATGAATAAACGCACGAACGAGGATCTGAGTGGAGTGGGAGGGTGTGCCTCTATCTTCCCAGCTGCACTGGTCTCATGTGGAGGACTCCACAGACATCCCCTAGGAGGCTGACCGGTCACTTACACACTGACACCTGGGGGCCATGAGCATTGGATCCTCCTGAGTGTCTAAGCCAGTGGTTCTCAACCTTCCTAATGCCGCGACCCTTAATACAGTTCCTCATGTTGTGGTGACCCCCAACCATAAAATTATTGTCGTGGCTACTTCATAACTGTAATTTTGCTACTGTTATGAATCGCAATGTAAATATCTGATATGCAGGATGTATTTTCATTGTTACAAATTGAACATAATTAAAGCATAGTGATGAATCACAAAAACAATTTGTAATTATATCTGTGTTTTCCGATGGTCTTAGGAGACCCCTGTGAAAGGGTCGTTCGACCCCCAAAGGGGTCGCGACCCACAGGTTGAGAATCTCTGGTCTAGAGCTTCCCAGAGTCACTGCAGGCACCTAAGCCAGACCCTGGGTAACCATGGGAAGCTCCTCTTTGCTGCCCAGAATGGTCATGAGACTAGAGACCCCCCCCCCCCCCCGCCGCCCCCTCGCCCCCGGAAGAATCAGGAGGAGGGCAGGGCATTGCTCGGAGACATAATAATCAGGCGCCTGAGGAGGACTTGGCTGTTTGTCCGTGTAATTTGACTCTCAGGCTATGAGTGCTATTAACTCCCATTCCAGACCAGGAACCTGAGGCCGTGGGCCACGAAGCCAGTGAATTACAGGATCCTGTCTCAAATCCGGTTATGTGGCTCCAAGTTTAGGGCTTGATCCAGTCTGCCCTCTTCCTTCCTTCCCCTCTGAGGGTGTGTCAGGGCAGAGGGCAGAGGGCCAGGGCAGGGGCTCACCAGAAAACATACATTTTCCTTCCCTAAGGGCTTGAGGGGGCTTGCTGCTCGCACAGGCAGTTGCTAAGACAACTCCTGGGAAAGGACACACCATTCCCCAACCTTGTCCACATGCCAGCACCTTACATACATGAGAGAAGCTTCTCAACCCTGAGAAGTTGGGATTATTATGCCCATTTTACAGATGAGAAAAATGAGGCTCAAAGCAAGGAAGTGGCTTGCATGGGTCATATGGCTGGAAGACACTGGTCTGGCCTGTCTAATCCCCAAAGATTTGTTTCCTGAGAACCTGTGCCACACCAGCCTGGGCATGAGTGCTGAGGACATAATGATGAACCAGCTCGGTCCTGGCCATTGAGCTCCCATGGTAGAGAAGGAGAGACACAGAGAGGGGATTGCCCTCTGAACCAGGAGGCACCAAGGATCTACAGGGGCCAGAAGTAAGCATTAACTTGAAAGGAAAGCATGGAGGACTTCTGGGAGGAAGAGCTAAATTATTACTAACAAACAGGTGAAAATTAGTCAGATGAGGGGAAAAGGGCAGAGGGGAAAAAAGAATAGTTGGCTCTGAGGCCTGGGAGAGTAGTATTTATGTGAAAGGGAAGCAGGGGCAACAGGTAGGATGGCGGGCTCTGGGCTGTGACAATGAGAGTGGGAAAAATAGGACTGATTTGAAGGTCTGTTCTAAGCCCTGGTTTGGCTCAGTGGATAGAGCATCAGCCTGCGGACTGAAGGGTCCCAGGTTTGATTCTGGTCAAGGGCACATGCCTAGGTTGCGGGCTTGATCCCCAGTAGGGGACGTGCAGGAGGCAGCCAATCAATGATTCTCTCTCATCATTGATGTTTCTGTCTCTCTTTCCCTCTCCCTTCCTCTCTGAAATCAATAACAATATATTTTTTAAAAAGAAAGAAAGACTGTTCTAAGCTTGCAAAAGTAGTCAAGGCTAGGGAGGGCTTTATTCATTCAACAAATACTTACTGAGCATCTAGTAAGTGCCAGGCTCTATGCTAGGACCTGGGGACACCGCTGTCAACCAAGGCCCTCACCCCCCATGTATTTCACATTCCAGTGGGAGAGACTCACAGGGGCTATGGAAAAAGTGGGGCAATGGGGTAGAGAATGGCTGGGGTAATGTTAGGTAGTGTGGTCTGAGGGGGTGACAACTGAGCTAAGACTGGAAGAGGAGAAGGAGGCAGACATAACACACATGACAGGAAAGCGCTTCAGCCACAGGGACCACAAGGGCACAGGCTCTGGAGCAAGCGCAGGCGCGGTGTGTTCAGGAAACCTGGTCAGTGAGCGGGGGCTTCCTGATCGAGGAGGACGTAGATGTGGCCGAGGAGCAGCACGGGGCCTGGGGTGGGGAGGTTGGGAAAGAGAGTTTAGATTAATTCCACTGCAATGGGGAGCTTCAAAGAGAGATGTGAGGTGATCTGATTTACATAAAATAAAAGGCTCACTGTGCCTGCTCCAGCGTGTCGACTGGACTGCAGAAAACAGGGCCAGATGACCTGTGGGAAGGCAAGGGGACTGCTAGGGTCACCTGGACAGAAACGATGGGTCTTGCCCTGGCCGAGGAGCTCAGCTGGTCAGAGAATCATCCCATAGTCAAGGCTGCAGGTTCGATCCCTGGTCAGGGTACATACAAGAATCAACCAATGAATGCATGAATAGGCAGAACAACAAAATCGGTATTTTTTTCTTTCTTTCTTTCTCTCTCTCTCTCTCTCAAAAATCATTAAAATAAAACAAAATAAATGATAGGTCTTGGCCTGGGTGGTAGCAAAGGACAGGGAGAGAAGTCGATGAAGGCTTTGGGACATTTTTGTAGGAGAAGCTGATAGGTGAGATGCAGTGAGCGAGAATAGGGAAGATGAAGAAGGAACAGGCCAGGGGTAGACTAGCCAAAGTCTGGATTCTAAGGCAGAATCAGCTGGCTGGGTGTCACTGGGCCAGTTACTCTACCTCTGAATCTCAAATGCCTCCTTGTGAAATGAAGATAATAATATTCACACCACAGAGGGGTGGAAGTGGTGATGGAGGCTAGGAAAGAGGAAGAGAAGAAAGGGCGGAGAGGGGTGTGGAAAGGGAGAGGAGGGGGGCTGAGGAAAGGCCTTCTAATTGGGTGAGGGAGACCTCCTCAAATCTCTTCAGTTTCTCAGGGTCTACAAAGGCACCGACTCCACCTGAGAGTGCTCAAAAGGGTGAGAATCTTCCCTAACGCAGTCCGTCAGGGGCGACTCCACGTCTCAAGTGGCCTCAAGCCCTGGACCCCAGCTTTGCTTTAGGAGGCAGAGTCTCAGCTACAAACCGCAGTCTCCAAGGCCCCTCAGAGCAGTGGGACCACACGGCCTGTTGTAGATGTGGAGGGGGTGTGGCAGGAAGTGAAGGCAGCCGGAGTGAACCTCTGCCCCACCAGGGAGGGATGGGAGGCCAGGAGCCTGGGGATGAGACAGCCATTGGCTCAAAACTCAGCTCAGCCCCCGAGTAACCTCAGGCACCACCATCTGAAGTCAGGATCCAAGGCTCAACGCCCGCCCACCCCTGCATCCCAGGTCCAGGAGGATCTGATCCCTCCTCTGCAAGAACATGGCTCTGCAGGGCCAGGACATGGCCAGCAGAGGGCGCCCACCTCGGTCATAGTGAGGCCAGCGTGGCCCAGAACAGGAAAGGCTCCAGGGGCAGAGCACCCAGCTGGGGAAGGCTGCCCTGCCTTGGGCTTTGTTCCCGGAGCCTGGTCCCGGGGGGCAGACCACAGACTCAGCAGCCGGGCAGAGCCTGGTCTTGCTGTTGCTGCTGCACCGTGCACAGGTCCCTGAACCTCTCAGAGCCTCAGTTTCCTCATCGGCCAATGGGCCTAACAGTGTCTGCTCACAGGTTCTGTGAGTGATCAGTGAAGACTCACCACATGCGGGGCCAAACACACAGGAGCTGCCATTTTCATTGGCAGTGGTGGCAGTTGTAATGTGTCTTAAGGTGCCTGACACAAAGAGTGTCCAATCAGTGGTAGCTATGACGACGATGACGATGATGACAATGATGCAGGACTCAGTCACTGCTTACTTGGCATTTTCCTAACTCTGAAGCATCCAGGGCCTATTGACCTGGGATGCTTCCGGTGACAGGGAGCTCACTACCTTCCGGCAGCATGTTTTCACTGCCAGAGCATCCTCTTGCTGCAAGCTGCCTCCGGGAAGACATACCCCGGTCCAGCTTCCTGCTCAGGGTGGCCGCTGGCCTAGCTTCTGGCGTCGGAGAGCGAGGACCCCATCATCTGGATCCCTGCTTTTCCAGGAAGGGCAGGGAGCTCACAGGTGAACCCAGGTGGTTTCACTAGCA